CATTCCGTGTGTGTGTATTTTCAAGGCTAGTCGAGAAAACAACGATAAAGGCATCTACACACACCTAAATGCTCTCGTTAATCCTCTCCATTGCAATATTCCTCACTTTTCTCACCATTCTTGCCAAATCACGAAAGGCAAACACTGGACCTTCTTTCATCACCATATTCCCCGCTCCACAAGAACAGAGAAGAATCTCCAAGATGGCTCGATTCTTCCACGGGAGGGAGGATGAAGAGCAATACTACAAAAGGAGTTACTAGACTATGGAAGTTGGCAATCCCTATGAGGAGCCTCACCACGTTTCTTGCTATTTTAATGCTGTTTTAACAAATATGTCTGTTTTTCGCAACAGAGAGAATCTACTTGAAGCAAAATGCTTTGAAGTTTTTACATAGATTTTACGGAGTACTATGTAATGCTTCAAAAGAAGGGTGAGTCCATAATTACGAGGTTGGTTGGACCTCAAGAGGTGATAATGTTGTCACTGCAAAAGGTAGTGTTATGCACCGTCGAGGGTAAAATAAGTGGAGAGGAGGTTGTACTGCAAGGAGATGGAAAAGGACGGTACCTGTGACGAAAGCAAGACAATGCACTTGCATTGCCTGTGCCTAGGAGACAAAGACCTAGAAAAGAAGGCACATTTTACAAATACCAGGCCAAAATTCAAATTTGCGAAGAAGTGTTTGCTGAACATCAGAATGCGCGATTTCATCCACCAAATTGGGAAGTAGGCATAAGGTGAGATTTTGTATAGACTGACTAACCTCTCAGGTGATCCAAGGATGTTGTGACAATGTCCCTCGTCCTCTTTTTCCAATTAAAGAAGCAAATATACACTGAAAGACTCAATGAGGGAGACACGAACTAGTGGCAGTAAAAAGCACATTGATAAGGTGGTTTACCTTTATAAGCAAATTATCTAACTCTCACCAATCCCACTTCTCTCAGCTCCCTTTTATCATCCCATTCTCTAGTCTACAAAGAAAAGTGTCATTTGTGGTCAGATGATGCTACAATGGCACTGTCAGTGCTACCAGCCTTGGTAATGGTGAGGGAGGATGACAATCGTGACATAAGGAGGCATGAACAGAGGAGTGGGAAGAATAAGACTGAGATGGAAATAAGGGTTTAAATGACGACTATCCATGGAAAACATTTTCTTTGATTCTGACCTCCTAGCTCGCTCTACTCCTCCCTCCGTCATGCTTACTCCTTCCAACGAGCTCTCTTTCCACTGAAGCTATTCAAAACAAACGAGTAAATCGAATTGCATCCTTTATTTTAGCATAGACGGTGCATTGTTACTCAATGAAAGGACTTCAAGATAGAGCTTTTGAAAGTTACATTTGAGTAAAACAGTATATATTTTCTATGTTTCTTTCAATTAGCGACTTTTCAACAATGGACAATTACGCACGTCATTTCCACATGAAGTAAACCACTTTCGCAAATTTGTATTCTGTGAGAGGAAGAGGAACAGCCGAGATACTCTTCTTCGCTATTGGAGGATTTGAATCAAGAGGTGGAGGAGAACGACAACGTGCATATTACATTGGATGAATCATGGTGTAAAATATTTTAATGTATTAAGCACAGAAGATGAATAAAAGCATAAAAGCCTTACTATCTTGAGGGAGGATCAGAAGAGGTGCTGACAAGCGTCATCCCAGCTAGACCGGCTCCATCAAGACCAAAAGGATACACTTTTAATGGTCGGTACTGCAAATGATTCATGGCAAGAAATCAAAGCCTGAGAGTTGTCAATTGACTACCAAACAAAGCATGAGAACAGTCACCACAGTCACATTTTTCGATTCTCATGCTTCGTTTACTAAAGAGGTAGACGAATCGGCACTTGCTTTCAAGAAGCAAATTGTAGAGATACGTTTAATCAGCTTAGCAGTGCGTGGATACCTATTTCCTCCACCCCTCAAGAAGTCGATCTCGTGGAAGGTCTTGAATTCTACATCGCATCAATCGTGCGCCTTAAGTTAAAGTGGATGAAATAGTTCGGTGGAACAGATCTTCCAATTCTACTCTTCTGAGAAGACCATCCAGACTCCATGAGATCTGGCTTGTAGAGTTTGCAGTCGCAAGAGAGGAGGCAAGCGACTGACCCTTGGAAATGTGATGACGCAATATCTAAGGTGGTCATTTTAAGAAGAAGGGGAAATTCTCAAGAGGCTTCAACTTAAAACACCAAAAAAGTCACCTACGTCTAATTGTACTCTGTGAATGAAATGTACAAGAAAAAACTCTTTACAAAACACAAAATCTCTTTCTGTTGTCTATGAAAATGTTCCTAAAGTTCAGAACAAGATTTTCACATACTAAAAAAGTGGTACAAAGATTATTTTCTTATTCACCTGAGAATGAAGAGGTGCAAGTAAATTAATTTCAAGTGAGAATTCTGCGTGTCAATCATTTAGAGGGCACATTACAAGCACCAACAAATCGATTGACACTGCTGACAGCCTATGATAGTTTGTCACACTGAGAAAATTGAAAGATGTAGAAGAGTTTTAAACGGATGCCATGCGCATCTTTAAATGCCATTCTACGGGTTTACTAAAATTAATCAACAGGAACTAAAATACCCATACTACCCTTGATAGGTGTAAAGAAAGCTGTATAGTATACACATTTTTAAGAAATCTTCCAATGAATGGATAGTTTGTTTGACCGTCAATTGTAATACGATGGTGGTTTATCCCTCCGTATTGGTGAGGCGCCAATTTTATAATTTGGAATTGGCCTTCTTGTACCTCGCTGAGTGGTCTGGCCTTCAGGCCATGCCAGTAGTCCAAACACCTTATCTGTGCTAAATATGTATATATTCTGCCCGAGTATTGTGTCTTCTTTCGTCTTCACGGAAGTCTCGGGACACTGCAAAACTTTGATTAGACAAGCACTTAGGGGCATGACCATTGTACGTCCGAGCTATGCCGATAGCCTCTGACCTAGTACTGATACTTCTTGCGGCTTCAGACATAATATAATACCAAGTGGGAAATTAAATTCCGCACTGATGCGTTAATTACCAGCGTTACCTAGAGAGCAGAACAACACACCCTTCTCACTATTAAAAACACCGCTTTGTGAGTAAGAGCAAAATTAAGTAGGAATCAGGTGGGTTTACTGCACATAGTGGTTAAGGAGAGTAGTGTAATACTTATGTTGTTTTAATGTGCCTTTCAGGGAGGAGGCAATTAGGAAATTCGAACCTTGTAACCGGATTGTCCTCTCCCTTACCTAGTGACTGCGGCTCCCCTCCTTCTTGAATATTGTATTTTCCCTATCCATCTTGTCACCTTTAATAAAGATGTCCAAAGCGAATCAACCGGGCTTGTCTAGGAACGCTAGGAATTGGGAAGCGGAGACCGAGGAGCCTCGCTCCATAGTAGGACCTGTAAGTTAATTAGGGGGTGAAATTTTTAACGATAGATATGCTGTTAATTCCACTTTTCAAGTAGAAAAAATACGCGACAAAAAATTAGGTGCTTTTGCATGATTAAGATGAGCCTAAATCCTTGTAAAATGACCTGTTTTACACACGGATAATGCCAAGAGATAATAAGACTGTATTCATAAATCGATAAATTAAAAAGTTGAGGATAGTTGTAAATTGGCAAAATCTGATTTTGTCAAGCGAGTAAATCAAACCAAGTGATTACTTTACTGCAAAGTGATCAGGCACTCGCTCGACTGTCACTAATGCGCTGGTATAACTTAGGTAATTGGTATTTTAGCAGAACGAAATTATGTTTATGGAATGCCAATATATAAGGCTCAAGTAGCACATAGACCTTTAGATCTGTACATGTTTTAACATCGTTTCTAATGCATTTAGGATCAATTGGTAATGTTTTCATTTAGGCTTTCAGGGGGTTATTAATGTTTCATGTTTAAGAACTCCTATTCTTTACTCAATAATATCCTTTGTGACGTCTCAATTTTTCAAAACAAAATAGGTCAACAAATCAAGCTATTAAAAATATCTTTTCAAGGTTTTCGTTGGCAAATTTAGACGCAAATAATTAAGGGTCTCATCGTATTTGGAGACGCGCCTATTTTGCACATGATTCTGGTGGCGATTTAACTCATTTGTTCATATTTTGGTGTATCAGTATTTCAACAAAAGTAAGACTTCCATTCAATACTCTGCGCTTTTCATTCCACAATAACCGTTCAAAACGGTTTGAAGCTTGCTGCTTGTTTCTTGTTCACAAATAAATGGAAATCGAACGTGGAAATATTCTTGCAGCAGCCCGCTTTGTAATCAGAGAACTTCTTGATTATGCCTTGCTTCATCAACTTTCTGTCGTTGAGTATGATGATCAAAATCAGGATTCATCGGGTCTGTCCGAAATCGTTACACGTCTACTCCATATCATCGAAAATGGAGTCTGTCATGGGATTAATTGCTCAGTTCGGAAATCGTCGACTGCCATTCCACTGCTGGATCCCTGGCCCCTCATATTCCACTTACCTGGCGAAGACAATACTTTAGTTGATAATGTGAGTGTGTATGATGACGTAAAGACTGGACTTGGCAAAACTCGTCTCTGGATACGGAATGCACTCATGAGCAAAGTATGTTTTAGTTGGTTTACACTCATATGCCACAGCAACTAGGTTCATTTATCCTGAAGTTTGTTGAAGTCAAAGACGTGAGGAAAATTCCTGCTTCATGCCTTGAGTTAACACTTGGAAATTCCCCATCGAAGTGCTTCTGCATTGCTGACGCCTATGCAAAGGGCGCACTGTTGATGTCGGACGAAGCTATGACATTTGCTGGTCTTCTCAATGATTTAAATGTCATTGATTTCTGCTTCGTTCTCAAAGACAATTTGTCCCGACTTGATGTTCCAGTGAGTTTCTCAGAAAAACCGGAGGTGATTATTTTTCTCTAGCTGGTTCCTATTGACTATCGGTCGTGCATAAATCCGCATTCTGGTGATGATTTATCTGAAGAATGGCGCCCTCAGTAATTAAAATGACATTTAGTCAGTCTTTTGTACCTTAGAAATGAGTTAGAACAGTGTCTCTCATCGCTTATTGAACAAAAAAGTTATCTGGAGGAGGCTGTGTCAACGACTCAGTGTGATGATAAGATTCTTTAAAATTTTTGCTTATTAGATCTCGTTTAGGCAAAGTTGGCAAAGAGGTGGCTGCCTTGGCCGACGAGAATTCGACCCTTCGAGAGACTAAAGCTGATATGGAGGCTAAAATCTCCAAGCTAGAAGAGGAGAATATTCGATTGTCAAGTCTCCTCGTCCGACAGTCGAAGGTGTAATTATCGCCACACGTATTGGTGACTTCCCCGTTTCTAGGAGGTGCAAAACGAGCTAGAAGTTGTCCGTGAGACCTTCAAGCACTCAAGCTTATCTCTGGATACGCAGAACCTGGAACTGGAACGTCAATTGAATGAGGAGAAGAAACGCAGACTTGTAAGTTTTGGCTTAGGGAGTACTTCACCCTTTTTGCGTTACATCTGAATGCTTGAATTATTTCTTTTTTAGGCCTCTGAAGAAGCCAGAGATGCAGCCGAAACTGAGTTATCGCGCTTAAAGGAACTGAGCAGCGAAAGAGAAACTTGTCTAACGGAGTATAGAAGTCAAATCGCGGCTATGGTTACTCTAAACAAGGAGTTTTCTGAAAAACTTCGGGTATGTGCCTAACATACTGCTTATCATATTTAAGTAGAATGTTGTTATCAGTAAAGTTATTCTATGCTAGAGTGTATCGGCTGAACTCGAGGCCAGCAATAAGCATGCCCATGACCTTCAAGAAAAGATAGACGGAATGTCATCTGTACTGACGGGGATGAATGAAAGGTATGTGTAGTTTTAATCCTATTTAATCGACACAGGTATAATCATCTGAAAGAGGAAAAGATCACAAATGAGAAGTCGCTACAGGAAGCAATCGATCAGGCAAATCGGGCGGATCAAATGTGCGTTCAATTGCAGGCTGACCTCGAAGCAAATCGGGAGTTTACGCAGAACTTGCAGTCACAGCTTGATGAGGTCTACATTGATCTGGCCAGTGTTAAATCGCTGCAAGAGAACTTGGACAGAAAGAGTCAGGTAGTCCGGGATTGACAGCATTACCATGAAATGGGCATTTAGGAACCTCAGCCACCTTGCAACTGATCTAGTTTCAATATGCTTTTGCAGTACTAACGTTTAAGTGTTGCAGTTTTTTATTTCCTAATATCTGATGTTTTTTGTGAATGTGTAGTCACTGTCGTACTGCTACTTTCATTCTTTTACTTAAAGTTTACTCCAGCTCCTGAGAGGTTCAACAAAAGATTGGTCCAAATTTGGCCTGAAAATGACTTATCTTTAGTTCATTAAGTTATTTTTCGTCAGAAAATTATTTTTAAAGGTGAATTTTGGGTCTTCGTTTCTTTGCGTCACAATACTTTACACTTGCAGTAGCTTTACCTTAGGAACTCCAGAGGTTAGTCTGCATCAACTTTCTTGTTGATGGTCACGTTTTGAATTTCTATCTTATGAAATTTTTGAAGATCTTTTGAGAGTTCCACAAGATGAGGAACCTTGTTTTCGTGCAGAGGGAGAATCTATTCGTACATTGTGCGATCTGAGGCTGACAAAGTAGGTCAAACCCCATGGACAGTCGATCTCTTGGAATGATTTTGTTTTATAGACGATCATTTACCACTCCTACTGTCTTTATCGGTTTCAATGAGCGCACAACCTTTTTGAGTTCATGTGCATCTCCCCTAGCGATCTGAATGGACTTTAGCTAAATTCCCTGTGCTCTACGCAGTGGATTTTCGTAGTATTTTACCCAACATCGCCCATCGAGACGAATAGTAGCTACTTTTCTTCTGTCCGCATTATCATTCGAAGGTCATCCGAGATTGTTCATTCACTTCGAATTGAAAAATTTCTAAGCTATAATTGCGTGGCGTTTAGAATTGGCAACTTGTCAAATTAACTTCACATTTGAATGAAATTGCGTAGTTACTTAACTTTGATTCTGGCGAACCATTTGGTCATCACTCTGAAAACTAACTCTTGAAAAGCGTTTAGTTATTTTAGCCGACCACGGTTGTTGTATTAAGCAGAGGTAGTCCCAAGATTTTCCCGAATCTTCTAATTTTCCTACAAATTTACCTCTGCATTCATGTGATATGCCCACTGAAATGCAAAGATAAATGTTCCTCACCCCCTGAATTTGTTTGGACAACAACAAAAGGGTTGGAAATGCCATTTTGTTATTAGGCCTTTCATGGCGTTTTAAAATCTATTTCTATCAAAGCAGAGAGAGAAACCGATGTATCATTTGATTTTGGAAAATTTATGTGCTTGTGGATTCCTATTACAGCAAAATTCTACAAACGTTGTTCTAAAAAGCCAAACTTACCACATGCTTCCGGTGCTTGTGCTTAATTTCCTCCGCCCTATACGCTGATGTTACCTGTGCTTTAAGTTTAGCCTGTAGGAGTATCATACACCTATGGTTTTATGTAGCCAGTAACCGGGTCGTAAAGTTGTTGGTGCTAAAAAAAAACCTTTACCATTTGTCGCTCGAGCCGAAGGAGATGCTGATCTGATTCGTCGATTAAAAGGGCAAACACGACTATTATTAGTAGCAGATTAATTGCAAAAATGGATGGTCTTCATTCGTGGCAAGTCCAAAACGGAAGACACGTTCAAGTGGTAAATTGGCTTTGTGATAGCAAACCTCGTTGCCAGGCTCTGTTGCCTGCCATGACGAACCGTTTAATATGCGAATTGAAAAGATAAACTTTGCTACTATACTAATATCTCAAAGCAACCAAAAACTGTAATAATGCCTTATAATGAAATAGCAATAACGAAGCGATCTTTTTTTCAGGAAAGTAGTAAAGGTAATCCCCAAACTGGCGCCGTTTTTAATCCCCCCCTCCTCCTCATCATTTTCCCCTTTAGAGCCTGCGAGAGCGTGACGCGATGATAGCCGAGCTACAGCAACGGTGTAGTGAAGCAGAGAGGAGTCTGGTGGAGATGGCAGGGACAGTGGAAGCGGCACGGCTGCAGGCGGATCGCGCGGAGGAGCGTGTGCGCCTTCTCGCCACGGCGCGGTGGACCAGCGACAGTGACGTTGATGCCTGTGCTCTCTGCGCTTCTCCTTTCTCCTTCTCTCGTCGTAAGGTGGGTTCCCCCCTCCCTTTCTCCCTTCCTCTTACAATTCGCGAAGGCCCTGAGGACAGCATCTGGGTCCC